GGGCCTCGTTCCACACCACTCCACTTTAGAAATACTTGAGAAATTCTTCGTTCCACACTGCACTGCACTTGACTTTCACTTTCCCTAATCGTGATTAGGKTTCCCGCCTCTCCCGACGCCCGCCAAAATAGTCAAGTGCAGCTCAAGTGTGGCCAAGCGAATTGGTGAATTTTTCAAGTCACTTCTCCGGCCACACTTGAGCCGCACTTCAAAACGGCGCAAGTGAGAGTCAAGAGGCGGTTGTAGGCGCTGCACGCTCCCCCCGTTTTTTCGTTTTTTGTTTTACATCCCCCCTTCCCTCGGGCCAACCGCCTCTGCCACTTTCCCGCTCCTGTTTCGAGTGTGGAGCGGAGTGTAACGTCGAACGGTGCCAGGCTCAAGTGTTTTTCTGAAAGGGGTTTCAGGTACCCCCATCCAAATGGGGATTACCCTGTGACGCGGCTCAAGTGCCGCACTTGAAATTGAAGTGGAGTGAAGTGGTGTGGAACGAGGCCCATACCCAATGGAAGGACCTTGGGAAAAATGCCACTTTCGGTTTGTCAAAATCGTAGAAAACCATCCGGACCTATTTTGACAAACCAAACGACGCTTTTCCCCGAGCCTAAGATCCACTGTGCCCCGAGCCACAGTACCCCGTGAGGGAGGGTAACTGTGGGCTACCCTCACGGAACCTCTACCGGCCTGGGCACTGCAAATTTAGGCCCGGTACTTGTAGTAGACAAGAAAAATGAACAGCGCAGGGTCCGCTGGAGAAATGTGCATGCAAGATGGTCCCAGGTGTGAGCATGCACGACCTCACTGTGCCCCTAGTTGCCTGTGGCTTTCTTGACCTAGGTGAGCTGGCCTGTCGGTTTGGCCGTACTGTGCGACTTGGCGGCGGTCCTTTTTTACAGGCATCAGTCACACAGAAACAGTTCTGTTCTTCTTCAGTGTGCGCGAAGGCTACCATACCTACTAGTTCCGGCGCCAACGCAACAAGCGCGAGAGCGCTCAAGTGTGCGCAGCAAAGCACAGTACCAACGAGATGTTGGAGTGGTTCTCGAACCGTTGGCAGGCGCAGCCGGACGCTGAAGAGGGAAAGGGAGGGTGGAGAAGAGTGTCGGTCTGTGTTTTCCGGGCCAACAGGGGAAAAGTCATAACATGCCGCCTTAGTTATGTTATGTCATGCCCGACAGTGGCCCGAGAGTAGTCGGCTTGACGCCTTAGTTCCAGATTTCGACACGCGAGCGGTGTGTGGTTTGACACGCAAAGCGACACACACACACGCACACACACAAAGAGAGAGAGAGAGAGAGAGAGAGAGAGAGAGAGAGAGAGAGAGAGAGAGAGAGAGAGTCGCATGGAAAGTGTGGAGAGTGGGTTAGTGAGGTGGGGTGGGTATTCGCGCGGAAGAGCGCGGGGTGAGAGTCTGTGTTTCGTTGAAGATCTTGGAATGCACATACGTTCTCCTTCCCTCCACTGACACGTGGAACATCGGTGATGGAGACATGAAACCCTTCTGCACGTACAGAGGGGCTCAACAAACTGTTACTCGACGTTAGCTGTCTATTGGCTTATCACGGAAACAAATCATAATCATATTTTTCTTACTGTTTATTGCTGCTGCCGTTTGCAATTATCGAGTAGTCCACTTTGTGGGGAACGCCTCGCTCGACGCAGAGCGAAGTTCCAGTGGGTTCTTGTGTCCCCTCTCCTCTTCCCTCTTCCCTCTTCCCTCCTCGTCCTCCTCCTCCTCGTTCTCTCCTCTCTCATCCCCC